ACCCAGCCTACCCCTTAATGCCATGGCTCATGAAGCCGTACACAGGCAGCCTGGACAGTAGTCAGGAGCTGTTCAACTACAGGCTGAGCAAGTGCAGAATGGTGGTAGAATGTGCATTTGGACATTTAAAGGCGCGCTGGCGCAGTTTACTGACTCGCTTAGACCTCAGCGAAACCAATATTCCCACTGTAATTACTGCTTGCTGTGTGCTCCACAATATCTGTGAGAGTAAGGGGGAGACGTTTATGGCGGGGTGGGAGGTTGAGGCAAATCGCCTGGCTGCTGGTTACGCGCAGCCAGACACCAGGGCGGTTAGAAGAGCACAGGAGGGCGCGGTACGCATCAGAGAAGCTTTGAAAACCAGTTTCATGACTGGCCAGGCTACGGTGTGAAAGTTCTGTTTGTTTCTCCTTGATGAAACCCCCCGCCCCTTGGTTCACTCTACTTCCCTGTAAGCTAACCACCCGCCCCTCCTCCCTTCAATCACCGCTTGCAGAGGCAATAAAGTCATTGTTGCTTCACATTCATGCATTCTTTATTCATTCATCACACAAATAGGGGGATGACTACCAAGGTAGCCCAGGAGGGGTGGTGGAGGAGGGAAGGAAAATGCCACACAGCACTTTAAAAGTTTACAACTTTAAAACTTATTGAATGACAGCCTTCTTTTTTTTGGGCAATCCTCTGTGGTGGAGTGGCTGGTTGGCCGGAGGCCCCCCACCGCGTTCTTGGGCGTCTGGGTGTGGAGGCTATGGAACTTGGGGAGGAGGGCGGTTGGTTACAGAGGGGCTGCAGTGGCAGTCTGTGCTCCAGCTGCCTTTGCTGCAGCTCAACCATACACTGGAGCATACTGGTTTGGTCCTGCAGCAGCCTCAGCATTGAATCCTGCCTCCTCTCATCACGCTGCCGCCACATTTGAGCTTCAGCCCTGTCTTCAGCCCACCACTTACTCTCTTCAGCCCGCCACCTCTCCTCCCGGTCATTTTGTGCTTTCCTGCACTCCGTAATTATTTGCCTCCACGCATTCGTCTGTGCTCTGTCAGTGTGGGAGGACAGCATGAGCTCGGAGAACATTTCATCGCGAGTGCGTTTTTTTTTCTTTCTAAGCTTCACTAGCCTCTGGGAAGGAGAAGATCCTGTGATCATTGAAACACATGCAGCTGGTGGAGAAAAAAAAAGGGACAGCGGTATTTAAAAAGACACATTTTATAAAACAGTGGCTACACTCTTTCAGGGTAAACCTTGCTGTTAACATTACATACATAGCACATGTGCTTTCGTTACAAGGTCGCATTTTGCCTCCTCCCACCGCGTGACTACCCCCTCAACCTTCCCCCCTCCCTGTGGCTAACAGCGGGGAACATTTCTGTTTAGCCACAGGCAAACAGCCCAGCAGAAATGGGCTCCTCTGAGTGTCCCCTGAAGAAAAGCACTCTATTTCAACCAGGTGACCATGAATTATATCTCACTCTCCTGAGGATAACACAGAGAGATAAAGAACGGATGTTGTTTGAATGCCAGCAAACATACACTGCAATGCTTTGTTCTACAATGATTCCCGAGTACGTGTTACTGGCCTGGAGTGGTAAAGTGTCCTACCATGAAGGACGCAATAAGGCTGCCCTCCCCAGAAACCTTTTGCAAAGGCTTTAGGACTACATCTGGGAGAACCACAAATGCCAGGGCAAAGTAATCCTTTCACATGCTTGCTTTTAAACCATGTATAGTATTTTAAAAGGTACACTCACCAGAGGTCCCTTCTCCGCCTGCTGGGTCCAGGAGGCAGCCTTGGGTGGGTTCGGGGGGTACTGGCTCCAGGTCTAGGGTGAGAAACAGTTCCTGGCTGTCGGGAAAACCAGTTTCTCCGCTTGCTTGCTGTGAGCTATCTACAACCTCCTCCTCATCATCATCTTCTTCGTCCCCAAAACCTGCTTCCGTGATGCCTCCATCTCCATTGAAGGAGTCAAACAACACGGCTGGGGTAGTGGTGGCTGAACCCCCTAAAATGGCATGCAGCTCATCATAGAAGCGGCATGTTTGGGGCTCTGACCCAGAGCGGCTGTTCGCCTCTCTGGTTTTCTGGTAGGCTTGCCTCAGCTCCTTCAGTTTCACGCGGCACTGCTTCGGGTCCCTGTTATGGCCTCTGTCCTTCATGCCCTGGGAGATTTTCACAAAGGTTTTGGCATTTCGAAAACTGGAACGGAGTTCTGATAGCACAGATTCCTCTCCCCAAACAACGATCAGATCCCGTACCTCCCGTTCGGTCCATGCTGGAGCTCTTTTGCGATTCTGGGACTCCATCATGGTCACCTGTGCTGATGAGCTCTGCATGGTCACCTGCAGCTTGCCACGCTGGCCAAACAGGAAATGAGATTCAAAAGTTCGCGGTTCTTTTCCTGTCTACCTGGCCAGTGCATCTGAGTTGAGAGTGCTGTCCAGAGCGGTCATAATGGAGCACTCTGGGATAGCTCCCGGAGGCCAATACCATCGAATTGTGTCCACAGTACCCCAAATTCGAGGCGGCAACGTCTATTTAAGCGCTAATCCACTTGTCAGGGGTGGAGTAAGGAAATCGATTTTAAGAGCCCTTTAAGTCGAAATAAAGGGCTTCATTGTGTGGACGGGTGCAGGTTTAAATCGATTTAACGCTGCTAAATTCGACCTAAAGTCCTAGTGTAGACCAGGGCTTTGTATCTGAGCCAAGTGGATTTCACCCAGTGTGAACAAGTTTGTATAAACAAGGTTTACAGTGTTAGGGAGCTTATTCCTTCACCCACTTACTTCCCTGGTCCTTCTTGCATGAACAGAGAGCAACAATACCCAAAGTCCAAAGGTGCAAACAATTTGATGTTTATTGGGGTGAACTTTCAGCAAGTATGATTCCAGTTTCCTTCCTTAGTGTCCCACTTCCCAGCTCGGACACCACAGAGCCTTACCTGTGTCCCTGTTCCCATTCCTGCCCTTAGCTAAACATGATTCCAATTTCCGTGCCTCCATTCCCTGTTCCCATTTCCCCCCTTAGCAAAACATGATTCCAATTTCCCCATTCCCATTTCACCCCCACACACACACACTTCCTGATTGACTGCAGACTATATAGTAAAACTTGAGTTCTGTTTAGCTATACCTTAACCAATCACTTTACTGGTTTCAGAGTAGCAGCCGTGTTAGTCTGTATTCGCAAAAAGAAAAGGAGTACTTGTGGCATCTTAGAGACTAACAAATTTATTTGAGCATAAGCTTTCGTGAGCTACAGCTCACTTCACTGAATGCATCCGATGAAGTGAGCTGTAGCTCACGAAAGCTTATGCTCAAATAAATTTGTTAGTCTCTAAGGTGCCACAAGTACTCCTTTTCTTTTTGCGAATCATTTTACTGAAGTTTAACTAACCAATCCTAACATATTGTAACATGATTATTTAACCAATTATATCCCACCACCTTATTTAGTTTACACCCAGCAAAATTAATTATACAGCTGACAGGAACAATCACAGAACCAGCAGAGATTATGCAGACAAACAATAGGGAAATGGGGACTACAGTGATAGAACAAACACAGAAATGAGGAGGAGTACTTGTGGCACCTTAGAGACTAACAAATTTATTTGAGCATAAGCTTTCGTGAGCTACATCACTTCATCGGATGCATTTCACATCCCAGCTATTGATAAGTGAGTTCTTGCCAGACAGGATGCTATCAAACTAAGTTTCCTTTTACATCTTCTAGGCACTTCCCTTTCTCTGGAGGCGATAGGCATTATCAGAACAGGATTGTATTCCTAACAGCCCAATAGCACCTTATTTCAATGTGACTAGGTTGGAATGTGAGGATGTGACTGTTCGCTTCCCAGTTTATGGCTGCCTCTGCTGCTTAACCAAAGGCCTTAGCCTAAGAACAGGGCCTCAGACTGTCACAGTAAGAGAAGGCTCTTACGCCAGCAGACAGTGATTTTGATTCTTTCTTTTATACCTCTAGAACTAGCCAAGTGATAAGAATACACCTAAATTCTTAGAGTATAGGCCTTTACAGACAGGCCTGAATATCTATATCTTACAGCCCTGTAAGTTATGTAATCTTTTCACTGGGAAACGCCATCTTGTTGTTAGCAGCTGGGTGCTTTGGTAAATGGCCACTCACTGTCAGCTCTATAGCTCTTCTGAATACAGACTCCTGCCTGGGATACAGCATGCGGGTGTCAGACTCCCTGTGTTCGCAAGGTGGTACCTCCCTGCTGCAGATGCTGAACAGCTTCAGAATATGAATCCCAACTTCAACACCTGCAGTGTTGAAAATCAAACCACCCCCACTGGGTGGAGTGACCATTGTTAGGCATTGCAATACTCCTTACACTTCGAGAAAAATGGTAATCTATTTCAGCTGATCCCCATGAGTGGTGTTTAAAGACCAGTTTTCAGAGTAGCAGCCGTGTTAGTCTGTATTCGCAAAAAGAAAAGGAGTACTTGTGGCACCTTAGAGACTAACCAATTTATTTGAGCATAAGCTTTTGTGAGCTACAGCTCACTTCATCGGATGCATAAAGTGGAAAATGCAGTGAGGAAGTTTTATACACACAGACCATGAAAAACCTTTTGAAGTGATAAACACCCATTTTTTTATGGTCTGTGTGTATAAAACATCCTCACTGCATTTTCCACTTTATTCATCCGATGAAGTGAGCTGTAGCTCATGAAAGCTTATGCTCAAATAGAGAGAACACCTTTTGAAGTGATAAACACCCATTTTTTCATGGTCTGTGTGTATAAAATCTCCGTACTGTATTTTCCACTGCATGCGTCCGATGAAGTGAGCTGTAGCTCACGAAAGCTTATGCTTAAATAAATTGGTTAGTCTCTAAGGTGCCACAAGTACTCCTTTTCTTTTTGTTTAAAGACCAGACGATCACTTCAGATCCTTTGCATTATTTTATTCCCACCCCTGTGACAATGTCTTCCTACACAAACAAACCTAAATGTTTCTGTTTGTTTTGTTGGTAAAGGTGCAGGCCAGGAATAACAGGGCGACAATGTGATCGCTGCAGTCCTGGCTCTTACAGTTTCCCAGATTGTATTCCCTGTAATTGTAACAGAGATGGAACAGAGCCAGATGTTTGTGATCCACGGACAGGAGCTTGTCTCTGCAAGGTCAGATAAATCAAGATACTTGTGCATTCACAAATAACAGTTTCCATATCAGTGGCTGTTTCATATTTAATGGGTATAATAAAGTGAATTTGTTATTTGCAGTTCTTAGATAAGAATTAAATTCAAGTATATAAAAATGCATTGGAGCACTTGCCTGGATTGCAAATAAACTGCAATTAAGAAGTTTGTAGAATACATTTAATGTTGATCTGTTTCACAGAGAGACCTAGATTTATGCAGTACATTAAGGTACTACATGCTATGTGTGCACATATGTGTTGAAACTCTATGTGCACACACACATCTCTGTTTTGCATCTGTAGTTTGGGGTTTTTTTATATCCACTAGGCTTCAGGCTTTTTTTTTTTGGTCATATGATGTAATTCAGTTGTTCTCAAACTCGGGCCGCCGCTTGTTTAGGGAAAGCCTTGGTGGGCTGGACCGGTTTGTTTACCTGCCACGTCTGCAGGTTCAGCTGATTGCACCTCCCACTAGCCGTGGTTCGCCGCTCCAGGCCAATGGGGGTTGTGGGAAGCAACGTGGGCTGAGGGATGTGCTGGCCACCCTTCCTGCAGCCCCCATTGGCCTGGAGCAGCAAACCATGGCCAGTGGAAGCTGCGATCGGCCGAACTTGCAGACGCGTCAGGTAAACAAACCGGCCCGGCCTGCCAGGGGCTTTCCCTGAACAAGCTGCGGCCCTAGTTTGAGAACCACTGATGTAATTGACATTTCAGTGCCCCAGTGTATGCATGATGTTTACCATTGCTGTGATTTGCATAGACTGAACTCTATAAATGTGAAGTTTCATATGTGACCTTTCACATGTAGGTTTGGAAGAACCAGCTTGAGGATTTTGGTTAGGAAATCACTTAGTAGTATTCAGAACTGGGGCTGATCAATGTTCATTACTCAACAGTGAGCTACAGTAATTACACTGCAGATCTTTATTCAGATCGAGTGGAAAGGCTTCTCAAAAATGACATAGTTTTTCCATGTGCAATTGCAGTGAACTGTATTTTTATATATACCCAACATACAGACTGCTGATATGCAATTGGGTCTGTATATTTAGTAGCTAAGAAGGAGACCTTCCTGTTGTGCATGCAGGAGACAAAGCTATGAATAAGTTATTGGCACAGAAGTTCCCTTTCAAGAGGAGACTATTTCATTTGCATTTGGAATACCATTTACAGAAGACCATAAGTAGGGCCGGCTCCAGCATTTTTGCTGCCCCAAGCAGCAAAACAAAAACCAAAAAAACCCTTGCCACCGAACACGGAGGCAGAGTGATGGCAGGGCCGCCAAATTGCTGCCGGCGACCGAAGAAGAGTTGTGTCCACGCCGCTGAATTGCCGCCAAGCATGAAACGCACGGTGACGGAGCGGCCACCGAATTCCCGCCGCTGCTGAGGGCGGATTGCCACCCTAGAGCCCGACCTCCTGCCGCCCCTTTACGTTTGCCGCCCCAGGCACCTGCTTGGTTTGCTGGTTCCTGAAGCCGGCCCTGACCATAAGTAACAATTTCACATTTATATTCTCTTATATTTTATAAATATTTAAATGTTCCTGTAGGAACTTTGTTTTAGGTGCCTGGTATTTTGCGGGTTGACCAATAACATATGGAAAACTTTAATAACTTTTTTCAATTGTTCTTTAACAGGAGAATGTTGAAGGTAGGCAATGTGACATTTGCCGTCAAGGATCATTTTATTTGGATCCTTCTAATCCCAAGGGCTGCACTTCTTGCTTTTGTTTTGGAGCTACTAGCAACTGTCACAGCACAAGTAATCGTAGAACTAAGGTATATTTCATGTGTATTTTTAGTTACAGGCATCTATCGCATTAAGAAACTATCAGATTTCTTCCAAAAAGACAAATTGTATTTTACTGAATCATGAGAATGGGAAATATTCTCTGGAAACCACTGAAAAGTGTTGTGTTTCCCATGAGATGCCTTCTCTGCAACAAACAGTGCAACTTATGGTGCAGCCTCCTTAAGACCCCTGCAGAATCTGAAAGTGCTGCCCTGTGGGAAATGGTCTGTCTACCTCTCTGTTTCAGCTAGAGCTGAAGCCAGTCCTCTGTTCTAGGTGGCTACAGCCATCAAAGATTTTGTTGAAGGGAGATATCTAGTTACAGTACACTTTTCCAAAAAGTTAATGAAGCAATTAATTTGATATCTTGCTTGTAGGAAATACGCACTACAGGTGTATTTGAGACCTAGATAGTGTGCAAGAGGTCTGTGGTAATATTCAACATGAGCTCTCTATGTGAACAGGCTCTGCCCTTCTTCATTTTCATAGGGAAAAACATGACACAAGAAGGGAGGAGGAGGAGGGAAATTGGGATATACTCATGTGATAACATAAATGAATGGGAGGAATTATTTAAGGCTGATAAGCGTTGAAAACAAGGAGAAACAGCCTGAAAATAAACAAGGGAATATTTAAATTGGACATTACAAGAAACATTTCTAATAAAAGACAGGAAAAAAATGTTCTTTGATCCAAACATCTCAAAGTTCAAATACAGATCCAAATATTCCTGAGCTTTGAGAATATCTGAATCTGGATCTGGAGGTTTGGTTTAGGCTCAGATGTGGACTAGGTGTTATCTGGATTGTAGCACTTTATTCTTTAAGCACAATGGGTGAAATCCTGGCCCCACTTGAGCAAATGACTAAGCTCTTGTTGGTGTCAGTGGAGTCAGGATTTCACCCAATGACTGCGGTTGCTGTCCCTACGGAAGCCTGTTGTTGAGCTTGTGGATATTTCGATGTCAGATTGTTCTGTGAGTGATTCCGAGACACATGCATTCATTTTTATTTTTGCCATTGTAATTCCATATAGCCATTCTGCTCTATAGTGTAATGATAGATGCCACCTATCTCACCCCAAGCAAAAGATAATTAATTCTAATGTTGAAACTTCCAGCTAAGCTGTAAAGGAAGTCAGGACCTGAAGTATACTGTAAAATAATTCTCCCTCTGCTATTCAAATGATATAATTTGATCCGTTGGTTTTTCTTTGTAGTATGGGACACTATCCCTGCAGAGGACATCTACATCTGTAAAACATTATTGCTCTGGCTTTTGTTTAAAACTGCAAAATAAAAACAGTTTTTTAAAACAATAGACTAAACAAAGCACTGGTGATTTTGACATAGGGTTAGTGCAGCACTAGTGAAATTTGCAGGAGGTTTCAGGAAGTAGATGAGTTAGGAAGACCTTTTTAGACTTCTTATTTAAAGGGGGAAAATAGTTTATGGACTTAAAATATAAGGCCAAATTCTATCCTTGGTTGCATACATGCAGCTTCTATTGACCTCAGTGGGGGTTGTGTTTACATATAACCAAGGACAGAGTTTAGTCCATAGTAATAAATCAAACACCCTTGTGCAGAAGGCGAACAGTAGGCTTATGCACCACTTATGATCCACTTAAGCCCCTTTTGAGGCGAATTTTAAGTGGGGCACAAGTGTTGCATAGGGCTTTGTGAAGTCTGTCTCTGGAGGGGTGAATTTTATCCTCAGTACCTTGTATAATCAATATGGTATGTCTCATAAATGACGCTATACACTGAACCTGGAAAGGTTTTAATAAATGATTAAACATGGCCTAATTTCCCTTTTATATTTTGTTACTAGTTTGTTGATATGAGGAACTGGCGCATGGAGACAGCTGACTATAACATTGATGTCCCCGTAACCTTCAATCCAGGCAGCAATAGTGTAGTTGCTGATGTTCAAGAGTTGCCTACCTCTGTGCACAGTTTATATTGGGTGGCACCACAATCCTACTTGGGAGAGAAGGTAAAGGACACCTAACTAAGCTGTTGTGATAATATTTGTTCTGTTTTTTCCAAGATCATTGGTAGAATCCACTCTATCTTTCTAAGTAATGTTTGTTTTCTTTCCCATGGATTTCTAACCCTCCTCTGACCTTCCTGAAATCACAGCACTCTGCTTTTGATGACAGCATTGAAAGTGCAGTCAGTTATAATGCTGGAGTAATCATCCTGGTGGATGTTGGGTAGATGTTTACATGAACTCTGTGGTCGACTCTGTTCCTAGTTTTTGGGAGCTGGTGTTCTTGAGGCAATTTCTGAACCACAGCCTCATATCTTGCTGCTGTCCCATGGTACCTTTTAAGACTCACTGAACATCTTTGGGGAGATTTTCAAAAGCATAAAGGGCAGTTAAGTGTTCAACTGGTGTGGAAAACTTCCCCCTTTATTCTTGATATCCTGCTGTCAGGGCTGATTTAAGAAAGGAGTGAACA